TGTGCAGCATAGAGGCCTGTGGGGGCTGCAGTTGTCAATAGTGCAGCCATGTTTAAATGGCATATATCCCCACACGTAAGACCCTTATCAGATATATGATTTGCAAATATTTTTTCCATTCTTTTGATAAATTATATTTTAAAGTAGCTCCCATAGGTTGCAAGTCTCTGGTCAGACTGAGGCTCATCATTCTGAGCAGCATTTCTGGTTTTCTGGGTGCTCATCACTGCCCCGTGCCTTGGTGGACGGCAGGATGCAGGGATGAGCAGGCTCTGGGGAGATAGCTGACTGCAGAGACTGGAGCTCAAGCCAGGAAGCAGGTGACTGCAGGAACGGCCCTGGCGTTGTCATTGCCAAAGGCCTGGGTGGCCCAAGGCAGGTGCATTCACCAGGGTCCAGTGCCAGTGGGTGTTCAGAGGGGTCCTCTTTCCTGGAGAGCGGCTCAGCGGCGCCTGAGGAAGGAGCAGGGCTGCCAGGCCGCAGGGAAGAGCGTTCCAGGCTGAGGGAACAGCGTGTGCAAAGTCGGCTGTGGGCATGTCTCCTGAGCACGTGTCCAGGGCCCAGTGAGGGGCTGTGCTCAGGGGAGCCCAGGAAGGGAACCTGGGGTGTCTTGTCCATCAGCCCCTGCCCCCGATCCCTGTCCCCAGGCCATGGTCCAGCACACACAGGTCACCCAGGCCTGGTCCTTCTCGTCACTCCAGCCTCAGCTCCATGACTCCCCCACCTGGAGGACCCCAGCCAACTTACTGTGTCAAGGCCAGCGAGCGGCTAGTTTTGGCTCTGTCCTGCTGTCTCTATCATAGTCAGCTCTGCCCAGGCAGGCGAAGGAGTCCCTGGGTGGTGCAGCTGAGAGAGTTCGCAGCCGAAAGGTTGGCCATTTGAATCCACCCAGAGGCGCCTTGGAAGAAAGACCTGGCAATCTACTTCTAAAAAATCAGCCATTGAAAACCCTGGAGCCCAGTTCTGCTGTGCCACACATGGAATCACCATGAGTCCTGGTTTTTTGGTTCTGTAGCATGAAAGCAGCCATGGATGATATGTAAACGAGTGGGTGTGGCTGTGTTCCAGTAAGGCTTTATTTATGGCGCTGACATTTGAATTTCATATAGTATTCACGTGTCACCAAGTGCTCTTCTTTTGATTCTGTTTCCAACCATTGAAAAATGTGAAAGCC